CCCAAGGTCATCTAGCCAGGTGCAAGTGGAGGAGTGGGGAATCAAACCCGGTTCTCCCAGATTAGAATCCGCGCACTTAACCACTACGCCAAAAATATCACTAATATATCTCTGCCTTCCAGACGGCCAGATATTACATGGGAGACACATCTGATGGTTTCCAAACAGTGTTCAACAAAAGAAAAGCAGCTGGGGAGGCAGTGTATTTCATCAGAATCTAGAAAGGGAGAGCATATCAATAGTTTTTGCTCCTAGGCAATTTTGAGTGGGAAAGTAGCTGGAAAGGAAAGGGGCCCTACTGTTCTAAGCACTTTGAAACCTAGCTTCCCACAGCTGCTTTACATTTGGAAGGAAGGAAGGAAGGAAGGAAGGAAGGAAGGAAGGAAGGAAGGAAGGAAGGAAGGAAGACTGGGAGGCTCTTGCATGCTTCCTATATAACACATTCGTTTGGCCCCAGAGCCTAAGGCCAGTCCGAACTGATGGGTTTTGAAAGGGATTTTTACAGCTCTGCCATAGGACGATGTGATCAACAATGATTTGCTTTCACATGGAGCTTTTGCCCCAAACTGGAGCGAATGTGTTTGGAGCATCTACACAACACTGCCCGTTCTGGGATTTCCCCTGCTCCCCTGTATTTGCTCCCAAACCAAATTTGATACAATGTTCCCGAAAGATCACAGTCAGAACTGATTTGTGGCCATGTAGAAAGGAAAGGTCTGCCCTTTTGAACCTCCCGCCCCTCACATGGGTGCCATTTTAGTGCCATCGCCCCATCATGCCTGCTATCCTCCACCCTGTGCCACCAGAGGGATTTCTGCTGGCTTAAAAAACAAATGATTTGTGCTATAGCGTTATAGTGCCACAGCGATGTAGCAGCTAACATTTGTAAAGCCCTCTGGTGGCATGGGGAGGAATAGCAGGCAAGAGGGACTGAACAAGAGAATACTTCCAGATGAGACGTTTTCCACAGTGTCAAGTTTCCCTGCGCCTGCCCTTGTATTTCTCTGCTGCTTTCCCTCATTTCCGCAGATGTTTTTGTAGTCCCTGGTACAAAAACGCAGTTTGTTGCCTGTTGCTCCACGGCATCAGACTTCCCTATTTCCAGGAATTCCCATGCTGCACCGCAAGAAGAGGCAAACTGTGTTTTTGCTCCTGGCAGGGGGAGAAACCGTCTGCAGAAATGAGGGAAAGCCGCGGACGAATAGAAGAGCAGGCAGGGGGAAACTTGACACTGCGGAAAGCATCTGAGTGCTCTGGTGTTGCTGCAAATACCTCTGCATTAGGACATAACTCTGTTTAGGATTTGACTGAAAAAGTGCTGTTTGAATTTTATTATTTGCTGCCGTTCGGGCATTATTAGTTCTTAATTATTAGACATTATTTCCAAGTAATATTAGTTTCCCTCCATGCCCATGTAGAAAAGATACTGCAAGTGACATACATGCCCGTGTAGAAAATATGCCATCAAACACGCCCACATCAGCACACCGGAGACAAGGCTGCTGGCAGGTATATCAACATTCTCAGCCTTTTTGCAGGATTACCTGACCAAACCGGGTTTGGGAAAAAATGGGTCAGCAGGTCTTTTCTTCTCAGAGGGTTCCTCCTCCAGGTTGAAAGAGAGTTGCCCTTTCGTATGAGTAAACAGAAGGCCAGGATAAAACTCTGAAAAGTCCTTGGATATCTGGGGGCGTAAACAAAAGGAACTAAGCACCAGGGTACTAGATTTTAAAATCCAGGGATTAGGTACTCTCCAACACAGAATTTTAAAGGGATGGGTTAATTTTTTTGTATTAAATGTATTATTCCCTTAAGGGAGAGGAGGTACACAAAGCCAGCAATGGAGTATCTTTCATTGATTTTTTTTTTAAGTGCCTTCCAATAGAATACCGGTTTCACTTGATGAAAGTGAAGCTAAAACTTTGTGTGGGTCTCAGCTTGAAGTTAAGAGTTGCCAGCCTCCAGGCAGGACCTGGAATCTCCCGGAAATACAACTGATCCCTAGGCTACAGAAATCAGTTACCTCTGGAGAAAATGGCTGCTTTGGAGGGTGGACTCCATGATGTTGTACTCCACGGAGCTCCCCCTCACCTCCCTGACCCCTGCCTTCTCCAGGCTGTACCCCCCCCCATCTCCTGGGATTCCCCAACCCAGAGTTGGTAACCCAAGCCCCAGGCTGAAACAAAGAATATCTTTGTTTCATATCTGCAAGGGTCATTTCATAGAAAAAGAGCTGCAGGAGTTCATTAGCATACCTAATAAGCTATTAGCATAACATCTCATTAGCATATGCCACGCCCCATGACATCGCCGGAAGTGATGTCAGAAGGGGAAGCAAGGGGGGAGGCATCTTCAAAAGCCTTCCCTTCCCTTCCCCAGCTGGCCTGCCAAGATGGGCTGGGGGGGAAGTGCATCCGGATTGCAGCCCACCGTAGCAAAACAGCTTCCCCCCCTCCTGTGCTAGCCAGATGTTTTGGGGACGATTCTCTTTGCGAACAAGTCCCTTCAGAAGCTAGATTCTTGCACACCCACCCTCGCAATAGCAGTGTGGGGGGGGAGTAATCTTGCAAACTAGCACAATTATCTTGCAAACTAACACGGGGCGCACCTCCAGTGAGTTTTCTCGCCTTGCTTTCAATAGCAGGTTTGCAGCCCATTAACTAAAATCGCCTACAAATTCGGAGCAGAGACTCAGCTGCCTGGTAGAAATTCCTTGGTCGGGACCGTGTGAGCTAAAGCTCTTTCTGATGCTTCTCTTCAGTAGGAAAGCTGGTTCCTTGTATGCTTTACCAGGCAACTATTCCCCCCCCCCCCACTCACCCTTACGGAGAACTACTCTGTTCTCAGGAGAAATTTATAGTCTGCACCCCCACCCCATGGATGAATAGGCTCTGAAGCGCATTTATTAGGAAGGCACTCCCCCCCCAACATCGTTTTGTTTGCTTTTTAAAAGCCTGCAGCGTCTAAGGAACTCTAGAGACAGAAAGTAGCAAAGACGAGCCAGTGAGCAAAACCTGAGGAGAGAAACTGCAAAGAGTTTCCTTTTTCCTTTTTAGAGTTCTACTGTTGTTCCTGATTATAATTATGAGTCTAACAAAAACGGGCTGGGGTGAAGTACAGTTAGTACTCTTAATTCTGAGTAAACATGCAAATCCCATTAAACTGAAGGAGGTTTACAACCATAGAACTAATTTTATTGAAGTGCATTTCATCTATACCACATTTAGAAATGGTAACTTCACTCTAAGCTGAGGATGCTGAAGTTTAAATAGAAATAAAAACTATAAATGCACCAGGAGGAGTTTTGATGGAAATGTTGAATTAGTAGATCCATTTATTTACTCTTGCAATTCATATACCCTCAAGGAAAAACACACAAAGGCCTAAACCTGACTGCAGTATTTGTTCCGACCACCCACCCTCCCCTTCACACGTGCAAGTCCTCACTTGATCCTGCAGTCATCTGATGCCCTAAAGTCCCCCCTGCCGCTACCATAAATTCCTCCTTTCTGGCCGCCTCTCTTTCCGGCCCTGCCCAGCCTCCCTCAGCAGTAGAGCCTGGACTCCAAGCTGGGGCCTGTGTCCACCATGCGTCTGCCCACCTGGGGGTGGGGAGCTGGGGGCGGGGCTTGCTGCCACCGTCATTTTTTCCTGCTCCTGGGCTGCCGGAGCAGTGCTCCGGTGCGCTCCGGCTCCAAACAACCCCTGCATATCTGCATAGATATTCTAAGGGCCCAACTACATGTTATATGGCTTCCAGGTCACTGGGGCAAACAGTGGGTCCCTTGGGCTTTGTCATGTACAGCAAATGGTATGGGAATGGGAGGGGGAGAGGCTTAAGTCCCCTCTCTCCACAGAGTGTGGTCCTGATCAGAACTGGGCCCCCCACATGCCTCAAAATTAAGTTTTAAAAGTAGCTGGGAGCTCTTATTGGAGTTCTGGTTTGACAGGACCCGGTTTAGACTCTGAAATGGGTGGTTTAGGGGAGGGGCTGTGACTCAGTGGCAGAGCATCCACTTGGCATGCGAAAGGTCCCAGGATCTCCTGTGAGAATCCAGTCCTAGATGATGTGAAAGATCTCTGTCTGAGACCCTGGAGAGCTGCTGCTAGTCTGAGTAGACAGTACTGACTTTGATGAACCGATGGTCTAATTCAGTATAAGGCAGAGATCCCCAATCTTTTTGAGCCTGCGGGCACCTTGGGAATTCTGACACAGCATGGTGGGCGTACCCACAACATGGTTGCCACAAAATGGCTGCCACAGGAGGCAGAGCCAGCCACAAAATGGCTCCTATAGCTTAACTTCCGTCACACAGTGAAGATCC